ATGTGTTTACATACTGGATATATATGCTTAGGTATAGCCTACTTGAGTTCAGTTTCATTCAGGCTGTTTTTAAAGTCAAACGATAAAAAAAAAATTACAAGCCAACAGTACTGAGTAATACTGTACACATTTAAAAGTGTTATAAAATGGTTCATTTAGTACAATTATATATATGTATATATACTGTATGTATGTATGTGTGTGTATATATATATATATATATATATGTTATATAAACATTCATATTTCTTGCTTTTGTTTGTTGTTTACAGTCTACAAGAATAAGAACAGACATAATAAGAAAATTAGGCTATAAAAAGTAGTTAGTTAAATATATTATATATTCCTCCCACTTGGTAAACTAAGTTAGTAAATACATACACACACACACACACACACACATATATATATATATATATTAGTACCACATTAATAACATATATAATGCACATATATAATACCTTAATAACACATTTATAATACTACTGCATGATGTCCAGCATGTAAACCCTTGCCTTGAGTCACATGGCCTTATAAAACACTGTTATCTAAACACCTTCATGAGTAGACTAGTTTCAGTTGGGTGTGGTCATCTGCTCATTCTTAGCAATAAGGTAATTTTCCTTAAATTATTCTGTATGTGAAGTACAAACAATTGATATTGTTTGGATCTAAGTGATGTAGCAATCCTTTAGCAGTTGTAAGTAACAGGATATTACTTATGAGGGTTCTGAGATTAATGATCTTTGTTTTCTTATGCATGCATGCACAAGTGACACATTTTGCAGATGCGTCCTCTTCTCTGCAGTGCCTAGAAAAGAGGGAACTAAAAAGGATGTAAAATGGATTAACAGTGGGGTATTTCCTTGAGTAAATTAGATTTTTTATTTTTTAAAAATGGACAGAACTTAATCAGAGTTAGTGAGAAGTAGTGAAATGACTTAGGCCTACATAATAATTGTCACTAATTGTCTGTAATTCTGTAACCACAGAAAAGTTTGAACCGAATGTGAAATCTAGAGCTGCAGGTCAGACATTTGTAGTACAAACCAAGGATTTACTAAACCCGCTGGAATGAAATAGCGCAGAAAAATACCATCGCAGGGTTTCTGTGTTAAGCCCAGGTGGCAGGGATAAAATTAGTTCAGAAGAACATCATACATTCCTGTAATCCTGCATTGCTCTGGTAGCTTGTACAAGTCAAAGCATGGCTTTTGGTAAAAGCCCTTGCTGGCCGTTTGGTGACACTGGTAAGAACAAAGCAATTTCATGTCAGGTTTTGTTTGTCCTGGTCTTTATATTTAGAACTTTGCAACAACTTTAGCAGATAAGACTGCTGCTCTAGAATGCAACTGAAAACTTTGTGTTGACAGATTTACAGTGTCCCAAAAAGTATTTGGGCTCTTAAGCTGCACTTAAATTGTCTATATGTCATTGTTTTAGGTTACAAAATATCAGATCAAGTGGTATTTCTTAAAAAAAAAAAAAAAGAATGCTAATTTTCCAAGCAAACTATAAAAGAAATGTTTTTAATTTTAAACAGATTAATTGTTTGAAATAAAAGGAACAGTTCATCTAAAAAGGAAAATTTCCTTAAAAAAGTTTCTTTATTTGTTTCTTTATCAGAACACCAGTGGATCAAACAGCTCATAAAAAATTCTCAATAATCCACAAGTAGTCAACACAACTCCAGTAATGTCTTGTGAAGTGAAAAGCTATGTGTTTGTAAGAAACAAATCCATAATTAAGGCATTTTAACTTGAAACCATGCTTCTGGCTAAAATATGAATCCTCTGTCCATAATGTTGCTTTCTTCATTCAGAAAGCCATCTCATCTGAATCAGGAGAGAAATCTGCACTGATAAAGCACTGTTTACAAGCTAAAACAGCCTTTTTCAATAGAGGAAGTGTGATTATGGATTATGGACTCTTATTTTGGCCAATAGTGATGGTTTAAAGTAAAAATACCTTGATGAAAGCACATTTGGGTGAACTGTAAGACAAAATGTATTTGGAAACTTTCATGTGATGAACTACACCTTTGTGAACCTGAGATGATCCACTAAAACTCACCTTGAGAAATAATTGCAAATATGTGGAAATATCAAAAAAGCTCCAGCATCATGTGTTTGCCTTTTGATTTGATATTATTGATATTATATATTGTATCTAATGCAATGACATTCAGATGTTTTAAAGTGTGACTTACCGTAAGTGTCCAAATACTTGTTGGGGTCATTGCAGCTAGAACTGGAGTTTTTCCATTTATGCCATGTTGGTTAGGGTTTGAGATGTGGGTGTTGTGTATCAGGATGTCCCATATACGGAAGTGAGATGACTCCCTCTCCCAGTGCTGTGTCCCTAGAGGAAAGTGCTCAGTGCGGTCTGGGGTCATGAGAAAACTAGTGGGCGACTTTCCCAAATATGAGCAAGAAGAAAAATGTGGCTTGTTATGGAGAGAGAGTGCGAAAAGAGTGAGAATCAGAAGTGAGCTGTCACTGAGGTTATGCCCACCTGTCACCCCATCAGCCATTAGAGGACAGAAAGCTTTACTTTACAGCTCATCAGCACTACTTCAGCTCCTGTGGCCGGGTACAGCCTCAAAACCTCATTACTGTAAGAAAAAAAACACCCTGCACACAATCATTTATAACCTTTGAGAACAGTCATCTTCACATATAATTACATACTCATACTTCAGACTTGAACGGAAAGGTCCTGAACCTGTGTTTACATTCTGGTGACTATAACAATAATTTTGGTGCAGCTCTCATTATAAGCTGTAATTATAGACTCTCAGAGGGAGTGTTAGGATCATTGGCACACACCAGTGTTTTGGAGAGCTAAGACTTCATTATGATAATGACAGCTCGGAGGTAAAGACCCTCTGTCTCGCTGGTTTTATCCTCCCATCGGGCTTTCAAAGACAAGACGCACACAGTCAGAGCTGTTCTCACCATCAACTAAAATGAGTGTGAGCATTGATTTAATTTGCATGTTGTTGTTTTAATTCTCCAGTCCATTCCATTTGTTCCCACTTCAAGACTTTGTGATTTACAGGAAAGATATTACTGTAATTCAATCAAGGGTGCCAGGAGGATGGGTTGATCCTGAATAACGCATTTAGTTTAGTCCAGTGTGATTTCCACGAATCCAAAGCAAACATTAGATTTGGTCTCTAAAGTTACACTGACCATGCGGCCATTGCCCCACACGAGCAGTAACGCTCTAAATAAGGAGGGGATTGATTCGGGGGCCAAGTAGTGGTTCAACGGATCACAAATCTCACGGTTTGGATCATATTACGGTTTTTAAGCCAAGGATCGTTTTTCGGATCAGCAAGAAAAAAAAAATCTATGTAACTTTGCTTTCCAAAAGTACAATACCACAGCAAAAACTCTTAGCCTAAGAAAGTTCAAACATTATTAAAGAGACAAGTGAACAGCCAGTAAAAATAAGTACAAATAGGCTACACAAATTACAAGCATGGATAAATACAACAGAACAATGTTACAAAAAAGGTCGGTAGTATTCAGATACAGAAATGTAATAATTAAGTGTAAAATAAAACTGCATAGTGTTCACTGTATAAATTAAGAAATAGATTAATCTTAGTCAAAAACGTGTTTTGTGGTTTGATGAGCATAATGACAGCAGCAGGTATTATTAGGCTGCTGCCCCTTTAAGACCTGATACATGGATCCAATATAGCCTAATGATACACATCCGATTTCTTTCTCAGCTGTTCTCGTTCACTTAAGACACAACGCACTGCATTTGCCACAATGATTGTCGAGATCGGTATTTTGTCATATTTTTATGTGTATATGCATCTGTTCAAATGCAAGGAGTGAATGAGATAGGAAAGATGGTTCGGTTCAGTTTGCGCACAGTCAAACGCGCCTCTGCATGTGCGAGCATCATGTTTGTGCGGCTGTGATAGAAAACAGCGCGCAAGTAACAAATCGAGTTCCATTTTGCCTTTTCTTTCGCTAGAATGGTTTAAAATCGCTTGCGTGTGTAAACACATGCAATTGATAAACTTGCATTCTATTATGGTTCAATTTTGCAATTAATCCACGAATGCGTGCCGAACCGTGCAAGTAGGGCTCGCTGTAGCCTGCGGTGGATAGCCAACCCCGCCCACATCCACGTGTGACGTCGGAAGTCACACCCATCGCCAATACAACCCTGCCCACGTCCGAGTGTGACGTTGGAAGCCACGCCCATATCAAATACATCACCTTGTGAATTCCACATCCCCGTACCGGGGAAACCCGGAAGTATGTCGAAGCAATTTATGGAAGTTTAGGGAATCTAAATAAAATAATTTTGTCCTTCGTTTTACTAATACACGTTTTCTTATTTTTGTAAAGGATGTCTAGGCTTAAATGGCACAACTTAAATCTAATATATATGTCTAATATGCGGAGCTGATTTCGTAATCACAACAGCCTGTAAAATGCTTGCATTGATTAAAGTAGGCTAATTGTTAATTAAAACTTTTAAACCTTACCTTGTTTATTTATGTAATGAGATAAATTCACATTTATTACGATCGATTTTGACCTACCCAAGGCAAAATTAAAGTGCCTTGGGTAGGGGGTTATAGAAATTAATACTTTTTATTTAGCAAGGATGCTTTAAATTGATCAAAAGTGATGATAAAGACATTTATAAAGTTTAAAAAAATTATATTTCAGATAAATGGTGTTCTTCTGAACTTTCTATTCATCAAAGAAATCTGAAAAAAATTCTACTCGGCTGTTTTCAACAACAACAGCAATAATAATAAAAAAATGTTTTTTGAGCAGCAAATCAGAATATTAGAAGGATTTCTGAAGGATCGTGTGACTGGAGTAAGTCACCTTTGAAATCACAGGAATAAATTACATTTTAATAGAAATATAGAAAAGTAGAAGTTTCAAATAGAAAACATTTTAAATAGCAAAAATATTGTTTTTGCTGTACTCAAATAAATGCAGGCTTGGTGAGAAGAAGAGATTTCTTTAAAACATTAAAAATCTTACTAGTGTAATTAGTAGTGTTTAACAATAGATATGTTCCAACTATTATAAAGTCTGAGCAGCTGAATGAACAGTTGAATGATCAGGTAAACAGTTCTTGACATGCAGTACACATACATACATACATACATGCACACATAGACTACACAGAGAGAATCCTTGCAGATTCCTAATAGATTATTCACAGAACATGGCATGGACCTTCAGGCACTGTTCATCAAGACAATTTGATATGTCCAGCTCCTCCAGATACTCAAAGATGAATAAAAAGACATCTCTTGCTTCATTCGATTCTCCCCCCAGGTAGTCTTTGATGGCATTCTGTTGATTTTTACTGTCCATCTGGAGAAAGCATACGTGTTGGGGGTATATGTGTCCACTAAAAAGTATTTACTTATCATTCTACATACAAACATTTATGATTTTAAAACACAAAAATCAATCAATATCTAGAGAAATGCTCTCACCATACCTCCATGCATCACTGCATGGCATATGTGGTCCTCCAAGTGAATTGTAACAAGTAAATTTTTTTACTGGTGAAACTGCAGCAGGGACTCCTTAACCCGGGAGGATTGCCCTGCATCAGGCTTGGACTGAAAATGTGTAGAATGCTGCAAAACATGATCAAACAAACATTGACTAACATTATGTGATCTTTCCATTAATATAGTAGAATACAAAGATAATTTGTGACATACACAGAGTTCTAGCAAGACATAGTGAAATGATGTGGTTGCTCAACCAAGTTACTGTGCACGGGTACTGTGATCAGGGTATATCATTAAAGATGTCATATGTATGTGATTGTAAAAAAAAATTGCACATTCATTCAGCATTCTTTTTATGTTGTAAGACATGTATGTATATATGTATGTATTTGTGTGTGTGTGTTAGGGCTGGACGATATGGCCAAAATTTATATCACGATATATTTCTTAATTTCGGTCGGTACGATATAATTCCGATATCGATATGAACACTATTAAAAAAGGCTCATAAAAACGGCCATGAACGGCCACAACAGATGTCTGTACCTACAAACTTATGAAAAATTAATTTGCCAACTCTATGAAACCTACTCCTATAAAACTATATAATATTTTAGGAAAAAAATGGCACAAATAAATAAATGTTCACCTTTTATTGGTATTTAGCCTTCATACAAACAAGAAATGTGAAATCACTGTCAAATAAATCTCAGACTCTCCTTATTAATATTAATATTAATATTTTTTACTTCAAACTATAGGCTAACATACCAGTCAAAAGTTTAACATACCAGTCAAAAAGATTTTTAATGTTTTTTAAAGAATTCTCTTCTGCTCACCAAGCCTGCATTTATTTGATCCAAAATACAGCAAAAACAGTAACATTTTGAAATATTTTTACTATTTAAAATAACTGTTTTCTATTTGAAAATATAATTTATTCCTGTGATTTCAAAGCAGAGCTTTAGCATCATTACTCCAGTCACATGATCCTTCAGAAATCATTCTAATATTCTGATTTGCTGCTCAAAAATCATTTATTATTATGATGTTGAAAACAGTGGAGTAGTTTTTTTCAGGTTTCTTTGATGAATAGAAAGTTCAGAAGAACAGCATTTATCTGAAATAGAAATCTTTTGTAACATTATAAATGTCTTTTATCATCACTTTTGATCAATTTAAAACATCCTTGCTAAATGAAAGTAATAATTTCTATAATATAAATTTTAAAAAGAGCTTTTGAATGGTATAGTGTATAATGTTACAAAAGCTTTTTATTTCAGATAAATGCTGATCTTTGTATCTTTCTATTCATCAAAGAATCCTGAAAAAATGTACTCAACTGTTTCAAATATTGATAATCAGCAAATCAGCATATTAAAATGATTGCTGAAGGATCATGTGTCACTGAAGACTGGAGTAGGCCGAATGATGCTGAAAATTCAGCTTTTATCACATGAATAAATTACATTTTAAAATATATTCAAATAGAAAGCAGTTATTTTAAATAGTAAAAATATTTCAAAATGTTACTGCTTTTGGTGCATTTTGGATCAAATAAATGCAGGCTTGGTAAGCAGAAGAGAATTCTTTAAGAAACATAAAAAATCTTGCAGATCAAAAACCTTTGACTGGTAGTGTAGGCTGATTATTCTTATAGATTGAAATGTGCATTAACCAGGATAACGAGTATGAAACATGCTCCGAGTTGCTTCAGAAAACAAAAAAATAGAGCAACAACAAAAGCATGTTGCTGGAAATGGGTTTATTATTGAAAATGCAAACTGCTTGTCTGCCAGCAGGAGGCGCTGTGAGAGCAGTGGAACTAACGGTTTCTCCAGTAATAGCTGTAAACAAAGCAGCTCCGCTCATGAACGGTACTTTATCAGATAAAAATGCCATCTAAACTATTCTGAAGACGATCGGTTCCCTTCAGAGATACATTCATATAAAACACCCGCAGCGCGTTTTGATTTTGAAACGTGCAGTGCTCATGTTTATTCAATGAAGTCAAACGCCACAAATAAATCAATGTATGGGAAACACGGTAATGTATATCTGTGTATGTATACACATAAAAACTCTCATCTCATCTCACCCACCCACACACACACATATATATGTATATCTGTTGCTAGCTAAGGAATAACGTACGTTCAAAACAAACTAAGCGTGCCGAACTGTTGTTTATGCACATGCACACAACGACACACACATTTTTAAAGTTGTCAACGTTTTAAGTCTTGGTAGAGACCAAAGATATTTTTTTACTTACCGACATGGCAAACAACAACTTCTTTTTTAGCGGTTGGCAAACAATACGAATTATCTTCTTATCGATGCTTCTTCCTGTTTCAAAATGAACGAGAATGTGACGTATTTTGACATGGGCGTGGTTTGGGACGTCACACTTGGATGTTCAATGCAGGCTGCAGCGAGACGCTCTTCGAACCGTGGGGCTTGGTCCGTACGAATCACGGATCAACTACAATCCGTTTAACCACTAGGGCCAAGCCTCAGGCAGTGACCTCTTGTTTCATGTTCTTTCATTAGCAGTGTTAAGGGTTAAATGCTCTAAAATTAGCTTACTATGTTTAGATTTAAACCCTATTGTTTAGCAGCTACGCATCTTGTGCCAAGTCTGAACAAACACAAAGGGAAATGAGGAAATATGGCTTTGTTGTCGGGCAACAAAAATGATACTCACGTCATGCCTTTCAGTAACCCCAACCTGCATTTTTTTTTTTGCTGGAAAATCTTCTATAAAGAGAACAACGGTAACATTTTATTTGTATACTGGTATTGTGATTAAACTTAAGGTTGTTGCTGCTCGGCTCTCTGTGACCTTCACTGACGTTTGGCAAGTGTGTTTCTTTCCTCATTAGTGACTGATCATTACTGTCATTGATTTTCTCACTTAAATCCTTTAGTCATTAAGGTGGATCCTCTTTGGCTCGTTACGGAGTTATTTTTGGCTCTCATTTGTAGAACGTGTACTGTTTGAGTTCGAAAGTGTTAGTGTTCGGTTTATTATGGGCCTGCTACTAGTGCTGTACAAAATCATAATGTTTGACTGTCTCTAGAGTAATTCATTATTTTTTATTAAGAAATTAAAAATTTTGATTAATAGTAGTTTTATGATTTTTTTTTGGTATTATACTAAAGAATTTCCCCAGAAGAGAATTAATTATATAAATGTTAAGTGTATATATATATATATACACACACACTGAACAAAATTATTAACGCAACACTTTTGTTTTTGACCCCATTTTTCATGAGCTGAACTCAAAGATCTAAGACTTTTTCTATGTACACAAAAGGCCTATTTCTCTCAAATATTGGTCACAAATCTGTCTAAATCTGTGTTAGTGAGCACGTCTCCTTTGCCGAGATAATCCATCCACCTCACAGGTGTGGCATATCAAGATGCTGATTAGACAGCATGATTATTGCACAGGTGTGGGCTGGCCACAATAAAAGGCCACTCTAAAACGTGCAGTTTTATCACACAGCACAATGCCGATGTCAGAGGCGGACAAAGTACACAACTCCATTACTTGAGTGAAAGTACAGATACTGCTGGTCAAATATTACTCCATTAAAAGTAAAAGTTGTAAAGACAGATTTTTACTTAAGTAAAAGTACAGAAGTACTTGCTTTTAAAAGTACTTAAGTACCAAAAGTAAATTTCCTTTTTTATGTCAATGCACTGTTTTATTATTGTTGTATGTAATACTTGCAATACTTCTGAAGCAACTTGCAATACATTACACCTACTGAATACACTGACTAGCTAGTAGTATCTTGGGAATAAAGAGCTTTTAGAATGTTAAAAGCCTATGGGAAAAAATAAAAAAAAGTATTATTTAACACCCCTACACACCCCCACAAAAGCAGGATGGTAGTGATCTCACACAGCTCTGACAGTGTGTGCACACATCTATGTGTAGCCATTCATCCACATTTGAAGTAAAAAAAAGTCTAATCGCTCTCGCTGTACTTTGATGTTACACACAGAATGGTCTGTGCAGTGCTGCTTCAGTCAAACACCTTTTGTGTTTTATTAGATTTAAATATTAAGTATATTATTATGTTAAAGGTAGCAAAATAACCCCAGCCTACTTTCAGTGACCAAATTAATGGTGAATAATATATATAAATGTGTGTGTGTGTATATATGCATACATATTAGTTGTAACAAGGCTGACAAGACGTGAGACGTGCGGATCCATGTGCAAGCTTTTATT